AGATTGAAAAGTGTGAGCTAAGCTTTAAAGCAGCCTTCTTGTATGCATGCGTTGTACAATGCAGCGATGATGTCACTGAATTGACTAATCGCCTTTTCCAATGCCACAATAGGAGTACAATCAGGCCCTGGAGCCTTAGCTGGTTCTAGTCACTTAAATGCTTCTCGTACCTCTTCATTGGAAAAGCTGGCTGAACTTCTCGCTCTTTGGTCATTTGTCATTGTCCATTAACAGTGATGTAAAGCCGTCCTCGGGTCCTACTCAAGGATTGCCTATTACCCTGACGAGCAGTACGATTTTAATATGTACTTGAAGTTGACAGAGATCTTCAAATGCCTTATCCTTCTTCATCGGCAGATGCGTGGGTCATCATAATCATAAGGAAAAGTTCAACCACCGGGTTCAAGAACATTACTCTGCGGCTTAGTTTCTCTAGCACCTCAAATCCAATACCAAATTAGCGGCCCTTTACATGATAGCTATAGTAGACATCGTAAGGTCTCAAGTATTTCCTACCTTGCCCCACCTGCCGGTGGTGATATCAGTGTTCATATTGAGTTCTTCGTCACAAATTTTAAAATTCTGTTTAAATAACCCGAAATTGGTTGAAAACAAATCTTCCTACTCTAATCATAGTTACGACCACACAAGCTACACGCAGCGATTGAAGTAAACTCTTGTGTCTAAAAAAACATCAACATCAAAATAAGCACACCTTGCATTGCGCTATCGCGCGCATATTTCATCAGGTACTAGGTAGTAAAGTGCACTGCACGTAACAGGAGCTCCTAAACGTAGCAATACCACGATTGATCGAAGGTTTATGTAGCTGCTGCCAACGGTGGTTGCATGAAAACCGCGCTATCAAGCAAAAACAAAAAAATAAGGATGTGAAAAACGTAGATTACACAAGTCTGTATGTACATATAATGCATATGTATGCGTATCAGCGTGCATCGACGAGCACAGATAGAGGTAGCATTAAGTGTCATTTACTGGGATTGCTGGCGGTTAACGATTTCCAAGTAAAAGTTGAATGCATTAAAGTACTATGAGTGCACTGATAGTACGAATCAATATTGAAGGTGAAGGAAGAAGGACAGCTTTTAGTAAATCTACACTAGCTACAGCTAACAAGTTCGTCTTCCATATGCATGTAGATGTTAAGCTAACTTTAAGGGGAATTCGTTGCCATAGAAGGTAAGGTGCACTCGCTTGGGAATTATGTGGTTACTAAGAACGGGTATTGAGGGTTTTGCGGAGCTGAGCATTTGGTTTTCGTATCAATATGATGGTTAAGTAACTAAGAGCGTAGGGTTTTTTTGGTAAAAGTATTTTAAAAGTTTTGTAAGCTTACCAGGATGGCAGAAAGCTTGTCACTCAAAAAAGCGCTGTATGAGCATGTTTTCTTTTTATGAGGATTTAGCAATCTCTATGATGGTAGCCAAACGATCCCAGTGTGGTTCTGCGATTCTTGATTAAAGCTAACTGGTGTCCATTAGACTATTGAGTAATTTAACTAACCTACTTTTGAACCCATTCTCATATCGGGGCATACACACAACACTGTTAAGGTCAGTGGGGCACCATCCATATATGAAACCATGATACAGTGAGCTTATTCAAGGACGAAGTGAAGGCACCCGAATTAATGTGGTTTTCCCACACCAGAAGTTGTCTGTAGGGCAAGAGAGGCAGAGGACTCTTGAAGAGTTATTGCCGGGTAAAGAGAGTGTAAGGGGCCACTTCTGTTTGTAGGAACCAGGACCACAACAACGCGTGCAGAAAACAGCACTCAGACTACATGTCGTCCTTTGTACTGTGCCTTTTAATCTATTTTAAATCTGCACGATTTACTAATAAACCAAAGCAAATTGTTTGGTATCAAAGAGCTCAGGTTTTCGTCTCTTAACACATTGCAGCCAAATTCCTCATACCTAATTCTTGTAAAGTCAGGGCAGAAGCACCAAAAATATCCACCGTCTCAACCTCTTCAAGGCAGGATGGGCAAATGGAGTTGGCATGTATGCCCATGACATTCAAGTGTTTGTGCCACGTACTCAACCCACACGAAAAGCTGATTTCGCCAATCATTGTATTTGCTGCTGCCCCAGATTTTATTCTAGGCAATAGCATCGTAAGAAACCTGACGTTTCGGTTATCGCAGTATACAACAAGATTATACGCCCGGAGGTGGCGGCAACAGGGAGTCATATGGAATGGACGCGGAGGCAATAATGAAGTGTGTTACCCAAGTCCTAACAACAGAATTGTGCACGTTTGGTCACAGTTAAGTGAGAAGACAATCTCTCGGTGTGGCCGAGTTTTCGTCGTATAGGATGTTGGCACCACGTAACCCACTCAGTCCCCAGGAATTTTGTTTGAACACCCAGGGCACCTGAATGGCTGTTATGTGGGTTTTGTATGCAGCAGCGGCCTTAGATTGCTGAAAATTTATTTGAGTAACCGTCACTAAATGGTATCCCGGATCGCTTTGCTCCCTCATTTAGGATCAGTTATGAAATAAATTGTCCCGAAAAAGAGACTCAAGCGATTTCTTTACCCTCATTCGACGGTATGCAATGATCCCTGGTCCATCTTCACAACTAGAGTAGCATCTTCTCTACCTTCCACGGTGCTACCCTTTTTGTGATAGATGACATGCCAGTGATTGGTGTCAACGGCGGATTTTGGGCACGGAAGCAGGAAAGAACATCCGCCGTTTTCCGATCGGGATCTGGAATCCAGCATAGCATTTTCCTGAGAGGGGTATACTCTTCACTGTAAATAGTGAATCTTGTTCTACCTGTGCGCGGTATTCTTTCCAAGATCGGAATTGGGCAATGCCACACCATAACCCGCCACACTATGACTCCAAGAAGCATTGGGGCAGGCATTGGTGGGTGTCGCCGAAGTTTCCCTTCTCTTGCAGCGTTCGCCAACAGATTTGGATGTCGGTGCATCCACCACCAAAGTTCCACTGGCTTCTGGAATAGCCTCCGTAGACCTGGTCCTCTTACTAGATACAGTGACAGGAGGAGTTCAGTCAGCCACGCAAGAGGATTCCCTTGTTTACGTTGCGCCCGCGATTCGTCCTCCTTCTACTCCTCTTTAGGGGTTTGTGAAAGAGGACCAACTCCGTCAACGCAGCGAGCTGCTTCTCGAACCACATCCCCAGCAATAGATTGATCCTCTTCCGACTCTGAAGAATATAGGATTGACATTACCACCCCAGCTTCCTCCAAGATGCGCTCCTGATCTGTGACGCTGGAGACTTTCCATACGTGTGGGTACCACCTGGGGTATTATCATTCAAACTCTCTGCCATTATCATGATGTTCAGTTTTGTCCCTAACTGCCAGGATTGGTGGGTATTTCGTTACTTAACTATTAACCAGTGTGATCAGAAGATCACAAAAATCTAAGTCAAATTGATTTTGAAAAAAGGTCAGAAAAAATTATATCTGGTGAAAAATCGGGTTAAAAATATCACAGCAACCTAATACTATGTCAAATATATTAAAAAAAAATACCGTTCAAAGAAAATCTCTTTGTCCTATTTTTAAGCCATCTCTATTGTCATTATAATTTTCATTCCCTCGATATACCATACTTTCGATCCTTTGTCAATCACAGATACTATCTCTTCACAGCATTCTTTTTCAAAAATTTTGACCTTGTAGGGCTTGAGGAAGAATAATTTCGGTAGCATGATGTATGTGAGCAAGAAGCGGCATCATCTAAGAATGGCTTGAGAACCTCCAAATGGCGCGGAAGAACTCCATTTTTCATTCTGATTGTATTAGGCAGCCGTAGAGCGTAGGGAATGCCAGTAATGACTAGAGCATCCGTTGGACAAGTGCACAAAGCCCCTGTGATGGCCACGCAGAGCAGTCAAAGAAGCTTGTTCAAGGTGGCGCAAGCTCTAACCGGCTAAGCTTTTGGCCACCAGATCAGTTTCGTATACGCAAAAACGGGTTTTACGACCAATACGTTAGCTTGGGTTATATTCCCCAAAAATTTTCCATGAAGTCTCGGACAGACAAAAAATGCCGTTGTAGCCTTGTTGGCAATATTCAAGAGATGTGAGTTCCGATTGAGCGTTTTGTCCAGAATTACCTCTAAACACTTAGCCTCTTCTATGAACTAAATTTCTGTTCCTTGTTTTGGTAAATGTTTGGTTTGTTGACAACTCCTTTTCAGCACACCAGCGTTCTGTCGACAGTAGTAGGGGCGATAAGACTCCAC